TATATATAATATATAAAAGATACACACACACACACACATTTTTTTTTAACCTATCATCATCACTGACTACTTTTCTATTGGTCATTGAATGCATTTTTGACTCATAGATGCATGCATATATCACGGACGACTCTTGCAAATGTTGAATCGCATCAACAGGAGCGTTGATGTCAGTAGACCAACAACAAGCTATTTAAAACGCAAACCCTCATTTTCCAGATCAACCTTTTTCTTCGCGTGTCAGGTTTTCCCTTTGAATCCCAATCAGGCCGATTCATATCCCTCATGAATATTCAAGCACACTATCAAAAGTGGAATGAATTCAATCTAGTGGCGCACGGGAATGCTAATCACATCTCAGGATGGAGGTGTGACATTAACAAGCTGCTGCCCAAGGCCGTCCGCCACCACACACTGCCATTCATCACACGCTGCACCTTGTAAGCCCGCAGTATTCACACGCGCTCATATGTAAAGTTATTTCTGCATGTCTGCCTCTTATCTGTCTTTTTTTTTTTTTTTGGGCCGTCACCAGAGGGAGGACATGTTTGAGCTTTCACAGAAGAGTGAAAAATTGGTGCTGAATTTCACAGTCAGCCTTGGTGTCTGTTCTCTCGCTGCATGTGTAATGCGACACAGTGCCTTCCCATCTGCACGCCATTCACACAAGTTCACACTTGAGATAGTTACATGGCCAGAAAGACAGAGAAATAACAATGTACGGTACTTGTTTGGCCTGAGAGGCTTGTTGTAGCCCAGTTTGCTCGCTTTCATTTGCAGCCAAACCTGAAAATGTTATTACGACATTACGACTCTATTCTACTTGGTTCTGAAAATAAGGTTCCTTGTAAAATTCCAACTTCAGTCGAAGAAAAAAAAAAGACTTTTTATTGTCATATTTGATTCATTGTATTATGAGGTGTTCATATTTCTTATAAAATAAACTTTTTCCTTATAATTTTATTTTTCTATAATTGTGACTTTGTTTTTCAACTTTTCCTAGACGATTCCCACTTTTTTTCTTTCATATTATTTTCTAAATCCCTTATTGTCAATTTATTCCCCACATTTTAGGAATTATTTCGCATACAATTATGACTTTAGTCCCCTAACATTCTGAAATTAATCTCATACTAATATTGCTTTGAGGAATAATTGTGATTTTCCTTTTAACGTTCAGATTTTATACTTTTGTAAATAAATGACTTTTTTTTCTCTAGTATGACATTAATGTCACTATGATGTTAATGTAGGATGGTGCCATTCGTACAAATTGTTCTTTTTCTCACTTATGATACGACTTTCTTATGCTTGTGAAAAATATGTTTCTCCTTATGATCTCATATTGTGAATTTATATTCATTATTATGACAGATTTCAGAACAAAATTTCGCAGGTGAGGAAATTCAAACAAAATGTTCAGGAAAAATAATCTTCAAACATAAAACCAAGTTTTTCATTTATTTTTTATTGTGGGCAACTTATTTTGATCCAAAAATGCCAGTATCTGATCATTAAATGAATGTTTCATGTTGGTGACATTTTAACCCAAATTCTTCTTTCCATTCCATAATTTCTTCATGACAAATGAACATCCCTGTATGGATATGTTGAACTGAATTTAGATGTTTATTTCCTCCACCATTTAAAGCTGTGCCCTTTTACAAAGTGATATACATGCAGCTAAAAATGTGTGAGGTGTGGGGAGAGATCAAATGCAGTGCATTACGGCACCAAATCCTAAATCACAAAAGACAAAACACTGGACTGCTGCATTAATTCTAAATAAACTGTGTTGTGATCCAATTAAAAAACAAATGCAATGTAAGAGATAAGCAAGCTGCACAGAACAGAAAGTAATCACACTCTAATCCCTGTTCCTCGGAAAAAAGTCACACCCTTCAGACGCCGAGGAAATAAAATCCAACCTTGCCGTCTTCAATCACACATTGACACTGTGTTGCGCTGTGCATTCCATCATACGTGATGTCTGAGTGGGAGAGTAAAGTACGGGTACTTTCCTGACTGCCTGTTGTTGATGGCACCATTAAGCGGAGGAATAAACGCAATGTCCAAATTCTCCTTGGGCAGCACGTTAATATGCTGCGCTCATCAATAGTAGTCGTTCTTAACACGCTTTTTGGTTTCATATCTTATCAACTTCACCACATCACTCCTCATGCAGTAAATGTATTTCTCAAGACGTTGACAACGACTACGGCTGTCCCGTTTCCATGAAATGTAACTTTTAGTTAATGTAGTTTCAGGAAGGAGAATGTTCTGATGAGATCTGTTGAGTGGTAAAGACTCTACCCCAAAGGTTCCT